CCCCCTCCTTCACCCCCTTTACCCCCTATAACCCCCACCACCCCCCAAAAAGAATATTGCGGCTTTGGGATGCTCTCCTCAAGCCGCACACGACCATGTCATCGGAAAAAATAAATAAAAAAAGTTAGGCAGTCTGCTGGCCGCCGACGGGTCTGCCTACGGGTCGGCCCGACTGGTAGGCGCGCCTACCGCCTATGGTAGGGGTAGGCGGTAGGCGCCAAAACAACCCTGATAGCCAGCATAAAATGTTACAGCAGGCCATCACAGTTTGCAGTAGGAGATTTAGTCTGGGTGAAGTCTAAAGAGTTCTTACTTGAGGAAGCTCTCTCTCGAAAGTTGCTACCCGCATACTGAGGACTGTGGGAAGTGCTGGATGTAGTAGGTGGAAATGATGGACCATCGTATGTCATAGATGTTCCCGGACACCTGAGAGAACCTACCCTGTGTTTCATGCATCCAAGTTGCCTTGTCACGTGATGATGAGTTCCCGTCGCGCAGATCAACGACTTCTCCTGACATGGATGGCCGCTAGATGTGGAACGCAGCACTCCAAATGGGAAGAAGGGGAAGGCCGCAGAAGCAGTAGGGGTGCAAGTCCCAGAATCAACGTCGGAAGAGTATCGATGGTTTCCACAACATGAGCAGGCTCGCTGGGACTGCTCCTAGAATAGTGTCGCAATACGAGCAGGCTCGCTTGGCTCACCTTTCTGTCCAGATGCAGCGAAAAAGACTGTACATTCTATTCAGGGGAAGAAGGTAGACTTGCCGTGAAACTTGTAGTTTTTCTCAGATGACCTCGAAACTAGACTGTCGGGATTGAAAGGAATTCACCTCTGCTGCCCTGGTCCGAGTCCCAGTTCCAGACCAGTCCCGGTTTGCAGTTCCATTGTTGGTCTCAGGCGCTTGTACGATTTTCGCGACTATCTAGGTAGGATAGCTTCATGTAGGCCGTGGTAGGAAGTTTGTGGTAGATAAAGTTATGGGTCGGGAAGAGTCGGTAGAAGTCATTCGGCCAGCCGTGAGCCTGCCGAGTCAGCAGTAAAGTCCCAGGTCCCAGGAATGTCCACAAGCTTCCGGAAGCGACAAACAAAGGCAGGGCATTGGACCCATAACAGGTAGCTGCAGTCCAGAAGGCGAATTGCCTAGTACAAAACTCCATCTGGGGAAGCATTCAACATATATTCACTTACGTGTTCATGCGGAAGTGCTGCCGCAGTATTTTGGGGTCCTGTGAAGTGCAGAGTTTGGACATATTGCCACTTGCGCTGTGCACGGACTCTGGCTGGTACTAGTAGTCTATGGCGCTGGGTATCCTGAGTGTTACATGCTGCGCCTGCAACAGGCTGCAGGGGCCCCCTTTCAGGCCCATGACGTTTTCAGGCCAAAAGCCTGAAAACGAGGGCCTACAGGCCCTGTGTCGTTTCAGCCTGAAATCCTGAAAACAAGGGCCTATAGGCCCTGTGTCGTTTCAGGCTAAATCAGGGCCTTTCCGGCCCTGAGTATTTTCAGCCTGAAACTGAGGGCCATTTTCAGGCCCTCATCAGTCCAACCCGCCCTGAAACTCAGGCAACAAACCAGGGTTTTAGCACAGACCATGGACGGGCCAGCACTATATAGGACTGGCCCGCCCTGCAGGCCGGTAGGTAGTTCCTAGGTACTTCCCAGGCACTTCACGTGCAGTTCAGGAGGCAGGACGTAGTCTTCAGGATTCGGCAGCAGCACTCTGGAGGAGCGCTGCAGGAGTAGTTGTAGCGCTATCAGTAGTCTTCAGCGCTGGGCGCTAGTAGCAGCGCTGGGCGCCATAGGAGCTAGAGTAGTACTAGAGAGAGAGAGATTGGGCGGAGGCCAGGGATACTTACCTGCAGCGCCATAGCTCCCGGTTCGCCTTCGAGGTACCTGCAGCACAGCGCCATCTTCACAGGTTAGTACCTGGAGAGAGAGAGAGAGAGAGTTCTTCTTCTTCCTCTTCTCAGTCCACCATCTCCCTCTCACCCTCTCGCTGCCTGACTTCACTGCATCAGCAGACTACGAGAGAAAGAGCGAGTTTGGTGACATTTGGATCCAGACTCGAAATTTGGGCTTCAGACATTTTGACGAGGGATTATTTGGGACTTGTGACAAAGACTTGGTGTTGACGACATTCCCATCTCCCCCCCTCTTCTTCGTCTGTTCCCCTCCTCTTCGTCTGTGCATGATCAGGGCCTGGCGCCTTGTGTATAGCGCCAGGTCTCTTCACACCTTGTGATGAGAATGATGTATGTTTAGTCTGCATTGCAACATTGATTGGGCTAGTCATTGATATTCTAGCATTCTGCTACGCTATCTTGCACTACGTGATAGAGGTCAGTCTCGGTCAGGTCAGGACTTGTATCTAAGTCTTCCCTGCGCTATAAAGCACCGTTTTTGTATGTATCAGAATGTACACTGCTTGTTGAGATTTCACTTGCACTGCATTGTCCATTCAGTCCTTTTTATCACATTGCGGATCCTCGGTTATTATGTGCATCGCCCAACTTGGCATGTAACATGAGGGAGACTGATCATAGCCAGGTCCTGTGCTGAGGTTATGACGGAGAGAGACTTGAGAGGTATTCAGAAAGAAATATTCAGAAAGAAACCTTGGTGAAGGAGAGAGAAGTGATGCTGAGGGAGAGAGCACCATATCTTAGTGAGCTTGTTGGCGGCCACAGCCGTTCACTTGCACTGCATTGTCCATTCGGTCCTTTTTATCACATTGCGGATCCTCGGTTATTATGTGCATCGCCCAACTTGGCATGTAACATGAGGGAGACTAATCATAGCCAGGTCCAGTGCTGAGGTTATGACGGAGAGAGACTTGAGAGGTATTCAGAAAGAAACCTTGGTGAAGGAGAGAGAAGTGATGCTGAGGGAGAGAGCACCATATCTTAGTGAGCTTGTTGGCGGCCACAGCCGCACTGTCTTGTATAAAGACAATTATGTGTAACTGAGTTATTGGCAGATACTATCTTCGAGTTACGTCTCACCTGTGCTTTGATGCATGTGCGCGCCATCTTGTTTGTGCATGGAGTGGGAGGGTGATGGATGGTCAGTCTCAAAGCACTGCCCCTTTCCAATAAAGGACAGATGATGGTTGAGGGGGGGGAAAGCAACTCAAAATGGCGAACATTGGATAGGGTGAAATAAGACAACTCCCCAAACTGATATAAGGACCCAGTCTACCTCAGTGGTTAACTCATGTCTGTTGATACTAGATTTGTGCCTGGGTTCAAACCCAAGGTCCACAACAAGTTTGTGTGTCCAGTCAGTGTTCCAACAACATGTGTGTGTGTGTGCATGTGTGTGGGAGTGGGTGCTCGGGTGTGCGTGTGCTTGTGGGTGTGGGTGTGGGTGTGCGTGGGTGTGGATGGGAGGGTGTGAGCAGGTGCATGTGGGCATGTCCAGGTGTGTCTGGGCAAGTGGGTGTGCGGGTGTTTGGGCAAGTTGATGTAGTGAGAAAGCATTTAGCCAAGCGGAAGCCATAGATAACCATGAACAGGCATGCCTTGAGCCAAGGACAAAATAAGACCGACGACTTCAGAACCAAGTGTGGATGCACAACAAGAGCCACAAGCGCCAAAGTGTGCACTCACTAAATGGCTGCGCATCCTGTCAGACAGACCAAACAAACTACAACGATGAGGTAGCAACCCACCTTGTGGGGCACAGAATCTGTCGGTGGTTGCATACAGCCAAAATCCGAGGGACCAAATGTCCGAAAATCTGAAGAAGTACCCAGCAAAAATGCGAGCAGTAAACTGGCTGCCCGAAGAATGATAGGGTACTCATCCAACCAGCAAAATAAATAAACGGTGCCTGGTCTTATTGGTCCAGGACAAGGTTGCCTGGCTATCGCCGACCTAGTTTTGGGCCGCACTACGTACAGGGATCACAAAAAAACAAATGGTAGGCCCTGTGCCAAGTACAGTACCAAGGTCCTCATGGACGGCCGATCTGCTACACAGGGCAGCTAAGCATGTGGACAAGCAGCTAGTGGGCATGGTTGCGTGGGCTGGTGTGCATGTGGGTCTGTGCGTGTGGGTGAGCGTGCAAGTGTGCGTGTGTGCAGGCATCACTACACGTCAGGGCATAGCAGCAGTATCTCGGATGAATGCCCAGATGACTCATCGCACCATACTTGTCGAGTTCTCTGGGCCAGACACTCCCAGCCTCTACCTGGCCTCCCCTTCAACTTCAAGCACTACAGTCTTCCCCCGAATACAACGTATGGTCATTATAGCTGAATTTAGACTGAAAGACACCGCAAATTCAGCTATAATGACCGTACGTTGTATTTGGGGGAAGACTGTAGGCCTAGGTGCGCTCCAGTCTCATTTGAGTCTGTAACTCACCGCAGGGTCTTTTTTCTCTCTCTCTTTCTTCTCGTTTTCTCCTTTTTTTCTCTTCCCATCTTTTTTTAAGAAAAATGGGCAACGGCCTTGGGATATCATCATTGAACTGACCAGCCCCAGGTAATTCAGAACTATTTTCTTCTGTTTATCTGATTGCATATGGATTCGAACTTGGGTCTGTATTTCAGCAGCTCATGGGTGCATATGGAATCCGCAGGGCCTTAATCTACCTCTTTATCAGATGGCTTGTATTTTACACATTCATAACCAGGGTGCGTTGTGTTCAGGGGAAAGATGGTAGCTACGCTATGTCCATCTCCCGCTAAATTCCAGCCCTGTGCCTAAGTCTATGCTTATTGTGACCCCTGTCCGAGGCACAGGCACACAGCAAGGAAAACAGACTTACCACACAGACTCAAACTCGGGACTTAGCACTCCATAGGCAAGCACACACACATACAACATCAGCAGGCACACAGACTCACGGAAACACAGAAGAACAGACTCAGATTGGGAAATCTCAGCTATCAGGTCAAAAAGACAGCATTGTCGCTGAAAGTGCAGATTTCTCAGGCTACAACTGTGCGGTTCATTTCACATACTTCTTTGTGTCCATGCATTTCTTTTTGTATGTTCAATAAAGAAACCAAAAAGGGGGGCGAGGAGGGGGAGGAGGGGGGGGGGGGAGAGTAGGAGGGAAGGAGAGGAGGAACCTGGAGTTAGCCGTCCGCTCAAGGCAGAAAAATGATCCAGCGTCTAGCTGCTCGTCATGCCTGTCTATTTTTGAAATTCTATTTTGCAGTTGACACAACTCGATAGAAATATGGAAAGAAGCACACAGATCTTGCCACAGTTAATTCAGTGGCCAGGTTGACTTGCATTTATGTTGATGTCCATTGTCACAATGATTTCCAACAACTTCATCATAGTACTCATAATGATTGTGTGTGTTTGTGAAATTCGGCCGTGCAATTGATAGATCCATGGCAAGATGCGCGTAGACCTTCCGACAGTACTTTCAATGGGCGGCTTGATTTACATTGCATTGGTGTTTATTGCAATGGTAAATGCTAACAACGTCATTCCGCAGGTAAGTAACGCAGATTATTTGAACATGACACATGTAAACAATCCAACGAACTAATTTCAGAGAACTAGTTTGTCTGAGGGAAATAATTGGTGAGTCTCAAATTTTCCCACAACTGTATTGGTAAGGTAAACAAGGAGTGCATTCCTTGCAAATTTTTGCTCTTGCTTTACTGCCTCATGTACTCTGACTGCCTTCTGTCCTGCGAATCAACCCAATGAGAGAACCAACCGAATGGCCTTGTTGCCTCTTAAGCAAAATCGAGGCTGATGTAATGGGAAATTCACCAGCAGTTCTCAAATAGCATCAGAGAACATTTGGACTATTGGCGACAGTTATCCCCATAACATGAAATTCAGGCTATTCAGCAGCATTTTTTTAAATAGCATTTGCAGCACATTATATTCTTATAGGCAGTCATCCGCTTTTCCTTTTCGTCTTATTTCAACGCCACTGAGATTGATAAGAAAGTGCAGTAGTTTCTCGTAAGTCTTCCACTCCTCGAATACAATGGTATTTTACAGCAGGCAAATCTTTGACTCTACCTCCTCGAACCATAACAATAGAGTGCTCTTGTAAATTATGGCCTTCTCCCGGAATGTATGCAAAAACCTCGTTTCGATTGGTTGATCTCACTTTAGCTATGTTGCGTTTAGAGTACTTTTGCTGTATCTGATGGGCAACGATGGGTAAGCATATTATGGGCTGCTGCTTGGGCTGTACGATTTGGAAATCATCAGTGCTGATATGCTTTCTTACAAAACATCTCTGATTATTTCATGGGTGTCAAAGATGATTGTTTATTTCCGATAGCTACGCAATGTCGCCCTTTCTCCACTAGCAAGTGGAATTGACTATTTGTCAGTATTTGAACAATTGCTTTGACTACTTAGGCCTGTACACCATCCCTTTATGAGGTTCGCTCTCGGGCCCTCTTTTTTTTCCACTCTAAGCAATGTGGTTGTGGATGGCACAGGTAAACTACGAGCGGCCAGTGTACTACCGGGAGCAAGCGTCCAATATGTATTCCACATTCTTGTACAATGTTTCATGGGGTTTTGCTGAGGTAAGTACATGAGAATTTTTTCCATGCACATTTCAACGACCAAATCTGCCTCAGTCCTTGTAAAGTAGATCTTAACTGATACCGAAAGACAGGGTGCATGATTCAGTAGTGGATTTGCACGGAGATACTGAAAACCATGGCAGCGCTCCAGGCTAACGGACAGGGATCCAGACCGTCCGGTGTCCGGTGTCCGGTGTGTGTGTGTGTGTGTGTGTGTGTGTGTGTGTGTGTGTGTGTGAGAGAGAGAGAGAGAGAGAGAGAGAGAGAGAGAGGGGGGGGGGAGGATGGGGAAGGGGCGAGGGTTAAGGAGAAGTTAGCAAAGGAGGGCGCGATCTTTCTTTTCGTTTTCTTTCTTATTTTAGACGTTCCTGTATGTGTTTGTTCGTGTGAGAGAGAGAGAGGGAGGGGGGAAAGCTAGGGGGAGGGGGCGGGAGGGGGGGTTGAAGGTGTGAAATTGCACCACGTGGGTAGGGTACGTTAAAGAGGGGGCGGGATGGTCAGAGGGAGACACGGGTGGCATTAAAGGTGCAAATTCGAATGTTTTTTTCTTTTTTTTTT